GTGCTTGCCTGGGTCGTCAAGGGGTGGTGATGGTCCGGGTTCACTCCCTCTTGCTTGATTCTGCTTCACAAATGGCAAAAGCTTGAGGTGCTGGTCTCATGTACAGTACTTCCGGAACACTCTAACATCTGTCTTCTACCCTTGAATTTGGCAGGAAAAAGCGACCGTGGTTCAGTTGTTCCTTGACCGATGTCTATGAGGTATTTCACAGTGAGCTCACCATCTTCCCAACCTCACGAAACAACAGGAACTGTATCACCCCCACAACTATACCAACCGAACCATTATGCCTCCAAATCTCCCCAAAAAAAACACCCCCCAAAACCGCCCTGCCCCGTTCTCTCTCCCCTCCCTCCCCTCCCTCCCCGCCAGCGCTGAACAGCGCGGATCGCCACCGGTCGCAGCTGCTCCTCGCTGCCCAGGTGGGGCGTCGCCTCGGCGGCGAAGGCCGCCAGGACCCAGGCCCAGTCCACCTGGTCGGAGGTGCGGATGGTGCAGGAGACGGCAGGACCGGGAGGACGGCCGGACCGCGGTGATGGGAGGGCGCCGTGCCATATACTCCAGAATCCGAAACGGAGTCCGCTGCGATTGATGTGTGGGTTTTGGGGGGGTTTGGGTCGAAATTTTTGGACTCATCACAAAGTGGAAACTTATGATATCTACATGTGCCAGTTGGATTGAGGAACCAGAGTCTCAAAATCAGGCGATTGAGTAGCCATCAAGAGTGAAGGTCGAGCAAAGTTTTTTAGACGTATTGCTTCCAGTCTGCCACCACAAGTCGGTTCAATGCAATTGTTAATCCTTTGTCAGAATGGCTCAACAAATGACCACCAGGAGAGGTTCCCTCCACCAACGCAGGGTGCCACGCAGGTGACAGGTGGGGAGACCAAACATCAGAACCTCTTCACGACGCCTAAAGCAGCCAATAGTGTAGACTCTTGATTAATAATGATTACATACGATTACTAAACCCGCAGACATGGATTCTAGAACCTCCTCTTTACGTTTTTGTTCGCTTTGATCAAGAGGTCTACACGATGTCTCTCCATCCAATACACATTTGACTGGCAGCTAACTGGTACTTCGTACTTCAGGATCTTGGGTAGGAAGATCGTCCCATTCCAAGCTGTGAGGCGCTCGGGGGAGGGAGAGTTTCTCCAAGCATAGCAGCTACACTACAGGGAGGAGACTGAGACAACGAGGGAAGAAACGTGTGTGCGTGTGTCTCAAAAGAGGGAGACCGGAGACCGACCCCTGGAAGACCCCTGGAAGAAGGAACTGGTCGACCAAGAATGCATTGGTTGGGGGTTCCCTTATTTAAACACCATTAAATACCCCATATGCACAACATCTCAAACACTGAAGAACCTCTTTCCGGCACCTGATCGAACCAATCATGGACCGCCAAGCGTTGCAAGGCTTCACCCGCAAGGCTTTGCATGACCTGCGGCGCGGCGCGGGGGGCTTCGAACAGGTGGGTGATGTGCTTCCCTGGACGGATCCTTGCCCACACATGCACTCACAAAGCCTGTTGTATTGCTTTTACTACAGCTAAACTCAAGTCGATGATGTTGCACATCATCCGTACATATCCGGAAGCGCAAGCCGAGCTTTGTCCGGAAAGCGCCTGCTCGGCTGACCACTGAATGAGGTTGGAGCTTGCTTCCAAGCAGTGAGCGGCCTGCCGGAACCTCAGATGATCACAACCCATGGAGTCTGCAGATCATCAGGTCAGGCTGTTCCAGATTTAGATGGATTCAGTGGCCATGCTCTTTAGATTGCAAATTTGATAGCTGCAGTATTGGCCCTGTGTCCGTTTTAGTGTTGGGGAGACGGCCACAAAAGTTCTACACACCAAGCATCCCTGTCAGTGGACCCCAGTAATTATTTCCACTAGGCTAAGCCAACAAGAGGTTCGGAGAACTCCCTAGTTCCTTGGCTTCCCTTTCTGCGAGACATGAATGTACCTCGCAGCTGAGCACTTTCATCAGCAGTTAGATGAGTCCTAGAAGCCAAATCGGAACTTCTTTCCTGCAGCCGATCCGCGCTTTGCTTAAGCATGGAGAAAGCCGAGGGGCTGTTCCCGGATCCGCTTCTTGGCTTGCTTCGCATCCTCTTTGCCTAAAAAGACTGTGTCAAACCCTCACGTGTCAGAGTCATCTTGACCAAGCGCGCAAACACGCCACCGAGCAGAAACAAAAATGTGTCTGTCTGGCTTCCAAAACGGGTTTCACGAGCATACCTACATTGACCCCATTAGCCACTGCAGTGAGTCTAGGATGGAAGATTCCTGAGCTGCCGACTTCCGTATTGACGTTCGACTTCAGCAAATGCCTCGGGCCGACTCTCCCGCCGTTGCTTCTCTTGCAACTCGGGCTCGAGCATGGGCGGGAGGGGAGAGCTCTTTGCTCAGCGAGAGAGTTCCAGCAGCCTCTAGGCGAGGGGGTGGCATTCATTTGAGCAACCAGGACATATTGCACGTCTTTCCATTGATCGGCCGTCCCTTGTTGGCCCCAGAAATTGAGGCTCACTGATCATTCTCCCTCGCTCCCGCCTTGTCCACCACAGCCGGAAAACGCATGAGGCGCAGAGCTACGCTCCGCGGCGAAACAGGTGCAGTGAAACACAAAAGGCTGCGAAGAAAGCGTTGGAGACGGTGAGGTGGAGCAAGCTATAGGAAATCGAAGCGTCCACCCACGCCGAGGGGGTTGCATTCCGAAGGGGTGTGTGCTTGAGGTGCATCCGATGGTTGTCAAAATCACCAAACTTCTGACGCCACTCGATGCTCTTCATACCATGGCCCTCATGTCTTTGAAGCTCTTGTGCAATCCTGCCCTCTACGACCACCCAACCATAGAAGCTCAAATTCTGCACAAGTGGTACAGTAGGAATAAAAGCAACCTAAATCCCGAAGATATTGTTTAACTTAATTAATGGTTCTTGGCTGCGGTAGATACTGTGCCTACCAACGAACTCAGTCAAGCCACCGGACAAGTCTACCTCGCCAACCACCCGAGCGCCAAGCTCCGGCACCCTCTGCGACACCGTCTTCCGCGCGCAGCTCGAGCTGCGTCCGTTGTGAGACCCGGTCCGCCACACGAGCGGCTTGAGCAATGAGTCACTCGCAGCTCAAACGACAAGCGGGGCGTATGTATCCAATGGGGCTTCATCTGGCCATGAGTATACAAATCAGGCGGAGATTTGTTCCTCCACCACATCAAAACCCAACAGAAACATACAGAAACCAACATTTGCAAAGCTACAGGTCTTTGATCCATACAGAACATGTGCTCTGTGAGTCTTTGACCGAACACATTTGCCAGCACCAGCACCACCTGCAGTCGATGTCTCCTATGGTGTTGCAAGCAGCATCGAAAGCGCATAGAAAACGCACATCACTCAGTTTGATACAAGGACTATCCAGATCTACCCAGTACTCATGCTCAAGCCGTGTTCTGGGCGCGGCTTCTCACTTCTTGCGTTTGTGGATAAGCTCAAAAAAACCTCATGGCAGGACTCCACCAGAAGATGAAAAACAAATAACTACAAAGCTAAAATTCAAAGCAAGCTCTAAACATCTTGACCAGCTCTAAACATCCAGCCAAAACATGAAACTCCGACCAGACCAAGAGAGTTAAGGTTTCAACCATAACTATGAAGATGAAAGATGCTGCCGGATGTGTTTAGAGCAGGGTTCTTGTATGACTCCACAGATGACAACCAGGCACCAGTCATTTGACGAAAAGCTGCCACCGGTGTCCAGACGTGTCCTATTTCTCTACTACATGGACCAGGAATTTCAGTACACGACGAACACATCACATGGAAGTGGACTTCACCTCCTGTTTGTCAAGGAAAGTCGTCTTCCAAGCGACCATGCCATCCACTTTGATGTGTTCAGAGTCTACAAACCACCATCTTCCCCTTCCCGAAAACCACGACCGACCAATCACGGCGCGCTTCGCAGCTTCCCACCACATCTTCCCGCGATGCTACGGACTCCTGCCGAACATTCAGCCAGGACTCCTCTCGAAAATTGACCAGGGGAGATCCGCGTCTCGGACCTTGCAGGTTTGCCCGAGAAATTACAGTTCATCATCATTTCATCTTTAGTTATGCAGCATCTTTTAGCATGGTGCAGGTGAGTGTTTTCGTGTCTGGTCTGTCTTGGTTGTAGGTGAGTGGGCCCCTGAGGCCGTCAACTCAACTCGACACGACCGGGCCTGTCGTTCATCCCCAGCGACGACGGCCGAACAGACCGGCACCTTTGCTTTGTACTCCTCAAGCTGATCTTCGACGTCGGCCTCGTATTTGGCGAAGAGCTCCTGGCCACGGAAAAAAACCGCAACCTGTCCTCCATACGCTGGACAGCGCGTGAACCATTTAGGATCATTTTGGGACATGTAGATTCTTGATGAATAACCTCCTCCATGTGAAGAGATTTGTTCAATCCAAATGGGGTATTTGCTCATCTTGTCTCTTTGACTCTGCAGCTTTTCTTCTCCAGAAGACTCGCTGGGGCATGGACGTACATGGACGTGTGAAAGGTCATCTTCAGACCATTAGAAATCGACATGGCGATTTTAAAAGGGAATGTCTAAAAGTTTAAAGTAGATCCTCGAGCATGGACGGGCTACCGGGCTATCAACAAAAATGCCCGCAATACGAACTGCGAACATCTCGAAGAAACTCAATCACATCGACCCAAGATACAATCACATAAAGTGATTTACGCATATTATTTTGTTACAAGCGCTTGTCAAACTGTGTGACTATATCAGAAGATATCAGAACCAAAAAAACCCTCTGTATATTCACACCCACAGACCTCAAATCCACCCAAATCCATCCCAAACTCCAATTTCAGGGTCCCCCAAGGTCCCAGAAGTCGTCGCCGAGCCCCCCCCCCCAAGACCGAACCATGCATCCACTCCCGTCGACCGGGCGTGCGGATCCACGGCCGGGGACGGACACGGATCCATCCGTGGGCGCCGTTCGATTCACTCCTGGAGGCCCAGCTCTTTGTAAACGTCCTTGATCTTTTCCTCCTCTTCACTGCCGACCTCGAACACTCCCTGCTTGACCCACGCTCGGAGTCGATGGAGCCAGTTTAACGGGCCGGGCCGGCAGGCTCCGGGCTGTACCTCAAAGCGAGTTGGTTTTGGTACCTGAAGGAGGCATTCTAGGAATTCTAGACTGGTACTCGCACTTCTTATAATTTGCCTATGAGTCCACATACCTTTTGAGAAGGTGATTGGAGACACTTTGGTGTTGGGGGTCCAAATGCCTTCTGAGAAGGAATGTTGATCATTTTGGATGCTTAGGGATCATCATGGATCATGTATATATCTTCAAGTTCCAGCTTTCAACCAAACAATTAAACAAATGGTGCCCAGCCACCTGGAGGACTGTCAGTTCGCTCGTTGTCGTGCATGGACCGGCCTCGCAGTTCCCGTAATGCTTGTCCAAGTACGCCTTTGCCTGTCCAGACTTGAACGGCGATGTATTCCCAAATGGTGGTGCACATAGAACTTTGATGAAACAAATCCAAAAAGAAAGTCTTTGAGATTTGAACAAGGAGTTAGGCGGCTGTATACCTCTGACAACAAATCTGATGCCGCCTCCGGAGTGCTTTGCTCGTGGTAGGCATGTGCAAAAAGCCAACTGCACTTCTTGTCCTGCACAGACAGACCCACCAGCTCACGTCATGCTTTTTTTCTGCGATGTGAGTAGCATCTGTCAGTCCTGGATGTCAGTTCCGACCTGAGCTGCTTCGACATGTTCGACCGACTTCTCACATCGATCCAACTCCAAGAGGATCTTCTCACACCCATGAAATTCCGGAGACAACTTCGAAGTGACCTTGGCCCCAAAAAGGATCTGGCACTTGGAAGAGTTGTGTTCTTCAAAACTAGGAACAAGAAGCTACGTTCGGGGCTCCTGGCCGTACTACTAGGAGCAAGGACGCTACTAAGAATGCTACTAGTTTCTTTATGTGTCTTTTGACGCCTGGCATCAATCCTTCCGTCGGCCTTGGAGGGTCTAAACTCGGCTCCGGGCCGGAGGCCGGCGGGCCGTCACGGTGGAGCGTCCAATAGACGGTCAGAGGGTATAAATCAGCATGCGGGCGGGGCTTCAAACAAGTCTAGCAGGATCTAGCAGGTGTTAGTTGATGTTCAATCTTAGGGTGCCCCTTATGTTCAACCATGGCCCAAATATTGTTGGAATGCGGGTATGGGTCGGGGCGGCTGGAGGATGAAGCAAACACCAGCTCTTGCTGACTCTTGCTCCGTTTCACAGGGTTCATCTTCTTCATCCATCTTCACCAGGAGCCTCACTGCACCAATTGAGACCTCTTAAAGGTCCGACCACTGGAGCAAGTGCCGCAGGGTCCTGTCGGGTGCTTGGTAGTGCCGCTCCATCGCTACGTCCCTCCTTCCCCTCCACGTCAGGACGGACGGGAGACGGACGGACTGCTCCCGTCCATAGCGGCCGAGCGGCCTTGCCCAGCACCTCCGGACTGGCGAAGGCATCCAAGTAGTCATCCTGGGCCTGCATCACAGATCTGCACATCATCACATCCTCTCTTGGATGGGTATACGGTATAGAACCACATGCACACACTGACTGTCATTCCATGGAAGTGGATGGCATGGTCACTTTTCCTTTACAAAAGGGGATTTGCCACTTCCATGTTGGTGACTGTCAGGGAGTCGGAGTGTAATACAACAAAAAGACTTGGAAACAGATTTCACCAATTCACAAGAATGCTCCACCGTTGCCGGATTGTCCCGTGATGAAAAACACTACACACCACTAAGACACTCATGTGTTACAACTCACCAGAACTCCAAGGAAACCTGCAAACCTTCTCAATTGAGCCCTTATAATCCTCGAGCTCGTCCCAACGGTGACCCAACGCGGTGGCCGCTGCGCCGGGTGAAGCGGAATGCGCCTGGAAGTAGATTCCCATCAGCCTCAGCATGCTGACAAGGGCATCGGCGAAGCTCCACTCCAGTGTTTTTTATGTACTGCAAGGAGAGACCAACACAATTTGCCAGTGCTTCGTGAATATATGTTTGACATTGTTTGATCATTGTTGTCATGTTATATACAGTATTATAAAATATACAGCATATAACTGGAATGAACACGTACGTTCGAAGCCACTTATATATCTGCCAGTCATGATCAAAAAATGTGGGGATGTAAAACTGGGCATTGGATTTGTTCCATCTGACATGAGGTATAGCCTGTTGAGACATGAGCTGATTGTCTTTCACAAATTGAGAAGAATAGGAGCCACAGTGGCAGTAAGATCCTGACATTCACGATGATTCAAGTGATGTCAACCTTTTGGTGAAAGCCATGTATATACTCGAAACAAATCACAAACGTGCCACCCACCTCCGCATGCCAAGTCGTACTCCGACCAAGTCAAGCATGGTCCGAAGAGATCCAAACTTGAAGCTCCCAGTCGCTTCTTGAATCCATTCCTTCCAAGGTGCCCCTGAAAGCGATGAAATAACAACAAAACCGGGAACAACAACAACAGCAGCAGCAGCAGCAGGAGGAACAGGAACAGCAACTCCTCACTTCAAGCCACCGTCGTCCGTCCAGGCTCGCTTCCCTCAATTCCCCCATGCCGCCCGGGCACAGCAGGGCCTCTCGTGCCGTGTCGAAGGCCTTGTGGTCCCGCACGCCAGTGACCAACATGGCCAATGCCACTGGGAGGTAAAAGGAATAGAAGGCGGTCTTGTACTTCCTGAGGTTCTTGCTTTCAGGGCGGGTCGGTCATTGGGCGGTATAGAAGCTGCTCATAACATCACTATGACTCTGACTCCCTTCCTGTTGGGTCTGTCGGTTGGGATCCAATGGTCCAGTCCTGCCTCCTTAGCTGTGCATGGTCAGAGGGTTCCAGGGAAATGACCATGTCAATACGCGCACCGACTGCCACCCCCCAGCCGCGACGGCCGCTTTTCGGCCACCAACACCTGGGACTTGCTTTGCACCCAGACAGACTGGCGCATGGTTTCACCCACCCAGCTTCGACCTCCGGTCCTTTCCAACGAACCACCACGTCGTCGTCTTCACGTCGGTCGACTTGGTCGACTCGGTGGACTCCAAGGGTCACAATCAAGGTCCAGCGCTCGGTCGTCAATTCCTGGCGACGACGCGACGCGTCAAGGGGGAAGAGATCCTCATAGACGCCGTACAGACGCCGTTGCGAAGTCAAATGCTGAAAAAATCCTAAAGACTTGGATTCAATCTGTATGTACACTTCCACTCAGGAAGACTGGGCCAAAAGTCTTCTGGTGCACCGTGTACCACTAAGGTTGCACTAGAACCTTGGCAGCGTGCCAAAATGCGTCAGGACTCGTGATTCGGCGAATTCGGGGAGACCATCTTTCGAGGTGATGCGTATCCCACATGACCTGGGTTGCCCCAACCCCTGATTCGATCACGTCCACCGGTCCAGTACTCTAATACCTCCACCCGGTCCAAAGCACCAAGGCTGCACCAGCGGACCTCCAAGTCACAGTTGGCACAGATGGAGTCCAGGAGCTGTCCACACTCCGTCTGGAAGGTGGTCTCCTTGGTACGAATCATCTCGAATGAATTTCAATGATATGTCTTCTCACCGGATGCGATTCATGTTCGTACCACTGTTCGTGTCTGGGAGCAAAAGAAGCGTGTGGTGTTGTCGACGTCTGGTACCTGTACCTGATGACAGAGATGTGTTTTGCCCCAAGGCCCAAGCCTCCCTCTTTCTTGGGCTACATGCAGCAGAGGCAGAAACCCGAGGTCATTGTGGAGTGTTGTTCAAGTTGCTATATAGGTGGCTGATCGCCCTAAGACACTTGCCCGATGCCATCTGTTGGGCTATTTCGGTTGGGCCACTTCTGCCGTCGGACGGCGGTCGGACTGCTAGGGCCCCAAGCTAGGAGGAGATCAATGAGCCAAGGAAAGATCTGCTCCTGTCGAGTTCGATGGAAGATCGTCGGCACGGACACCGGGCCATATGGCTGGTAGGTGAACCTGGACCTTCAAACACTGGTGGGTTAAGCTGGCCGGCAAGCTAGTCTGTTCATTTGGGATCCATTTTTGGACATCGCGTCGCAAAGATGGTTCGACGAATGGTTCGATGCATCTTTTTGGAACCACTGGGTGATCCCTACAAACTGGTGATCGGATGCAGGACCCAAGAAAAAGAGGATTTGGACAGCAAATGCAAGGCACATCTGCCGGGGGGGGTCATCCTGATTTTGGAAGAGAATGGCATCACAACTTCAAATTCTAGGGGGGCTGATGGCTGTATCTGAACCCTGCCACGGCCTTCTCAATCTTTCCCTGTGGTGTTCCACCTACCAGTATGAACCTGCTGTAGGCTGTAAACGGGGTTGAAGTTGTTTCGGCTTCTGCTGACATGAGACATGAGACACCAATCTGTTTCTGCGACCACTTCGGATCCCTTGACAACGATGGTTTCATCACATCTCTCGATCCAGTCGAACGTTTCAAGAACGACTCACCTTTCCAAAGTGCCGCTTGACGATCTTGTAGACCTCAGTAGCCAACAAACTGACAAACTGATGGTGGACAAACTAGATGACTTGGACCGAACCAATTCAAGGTACGTAGAAGTCAGGTCCCTACCGAAACAGTGGATGTTTGGCAATGTGTCAGTTTCAGAGTGTCCTTTACTCAGGTCTTTCATTCTCTGTTCTCTGGGTATAGCTGCAGCACCCTCCCAAAGAGAAATGCAAACGTTTACAAATTACAAACAAGGCATCTGGAAAACTAGAGTATCTTGGGCGCTGGACCATCATAAAGGCTGAAGATCATATGGAGTTTGTATGAATTTTCTGATGGTTCAGAACATGAGCAAATGTATGATCTACCAAGGATTCACCAAGTGATCCGCAAACTTGAAGTAACCAAATGGAACCAACAACCCTCTGATTCTGACCCACTTCGCCTGCACAGGGTGCAAGTGCCCTCTTGAGGACATCCGCATCTCTCAACTCTCCACTGCACGGACAATTTTTGCGCTGTCTCCACTGCACCCCAATCTGAGGATCATGGCATACATCTCCACCATGAGGAAATCGTTGGTGTTCAGCAATCCCACCTCTGGCAGCCTCGCGGAGAACATCCGGTTCCGGTCGCGGTGGTCTTTTGGCGCTGGACGAAACAAAGTCGTTTGGTGAAATTCAGCGTGGACGTCAAGGTGGTTGGGGGAAGAAAATGAGTTCGGTTTGGCACTGAGCACTATACTATGTTCAGTTCATTCCCCAGTATTCAAAGTGGAAGAACCAACCCCAAGAAACTCTCCAAGAAGCAAGCTGTAACTCTACTTTGCAGACCGATAAGCCTACTCTTGCGATACAAGTGAACATGAAGTGAGGAGGGCTGAGTCCCAGCTTTGTTCTTTTGAACTCCTAGCATCAAGCCGTAGAACCCTCAGACCCTCATTGGTTGCAGTGAGTCTGGCGTCTGGCTACTGAGCGGTAGTAGCCTCAAGAGGAAGGTACCATCCACTTGCAGTGATTGCCCTCCAGCCAAAACATCGTGGAATCGACGGAACTTGCTTGCCCATCGGATACAATGATCCATTAAAACAGGTTCCACTTTTGAAACAAGCACAACGAGAATTCTTCATTTCACTCACACTTCAGATCTTCATCACCACATAGTATATGTGAACCATAACCTTACACCTGATGCTACATCTATCCCAGTAAACACAATGGCCACCGTGCCCACCGTGCCCACCGAACCAGCAGGGGATATCGCGCCTGTACCAGCACGGGTTTCCTCGTCGCGTGACGGAACCATCCATCATGTCGTCGGCCATCAGCATGCAGGCCTTGTTTCGTTTCGTCCCATCGGCGCATCGGCATCTCGCGGCGAGACATGTGGGCCAAAATGGGTGTGGAGTCTAACATACAGTAGCTTATATATGTTTATATAATGGGGAGAACAAACGCTTGCTCCCTCGTAGACTGGTCTATGTTCCTTCTTCCAAGGGGTGGAACTGGGAGGTCTCCCTGTTTGAGCTACACACCTGCATGGTGCCCAGCTCAGTGTTCCAAACAGCCAAAAACCCGCCACCTCGTCTCACAGCCTGGCTCAGGGCCAGCAAAGTGGCTCATCCGTCAGAGTCATAAATCCCAAAAAAAATCCCAGGAAAATCCAGGACCATGTTGAAAGGTTTAATGGTTTTCCACCACACTCCTCCTTCCCATCGATCCCCCCGTCTTCTCTTCGCACCGAACGCACCGCACCTGGAGATACTCCACAGCCCAGCCCAGCACCGCGAAGCGGTGCAGGTCGGCGTTGGTCACCTCGCGGCCCTGGTGCTTCAGCAGCATCACGCCAGTCTCCACCACGATCAAACCGCGGTTCATCTTTCCACCCTGCCTCAGAGGGGGTTCCAGATAGGTTTTTGAATGGTTTTGGTTTAGGGTTTAGGTGTTTTTGTGTGTGTTTTTTTTACTTTAATGGTTTAGGGGTGTTGAACACCCACACTGCCAGATGGGATTTTGAGCTTTTTACGACGGTGTTTGGTTGGGGGGGTGGTTTCATCGGACGCTGTTATGATAAGAATAAAAAAAGAGAGGAGGGGAACATGGAGGAACTCTGAAAACACATGGGGCGGAGATTGAAGAACGGCAACATTGGGGGTTCAGCCTTTTGGTGCATGCTCTTTGGTTCTGTCTCCAATCGCCCAACGGCCTCCTTAAAGCCAGGTGCAACACCTTGCAATTCTTGTGTGCTCTTCGCATCTTTCGACATTCTTGCTTTATTCTTGCTTTATTACGTGGAACACCAAAACATCCAAAACAAGAGGGGAGAGAGCACAAGCGAGAGAGGGAGAGAGAAAGAGAGAGAGAGAGAGAGAGACAAAGAACAAAAAAAGAGAACACGAAAAAGCGGAAACCTCATCTTCAATGTATGTCACGTCGCCTCACATCGTACCAGGCTCCAGGGATCCTTTTCCTTCGGCATCAAGCTACCCAACCAGCTACCCCAAGTGGCACCGCACCGGCACGTCCTCCGCAACCAACGAACCCACGCGGTCCGTGCGCAAGCAAGTGACGTATTGTACTCCAAGGACCTTTCGACCCAGGAAGCCTCAGGTCAGCGGTGGCCATGCGGTCAATCAGCCGCCTTTGCCCCTCATGTCCATCAGCCGCAAGTGGTGGAAAGACAACGACCTGGACCTTCCAACCGGGTGTCCTGTCTGGAGGTCCCTTTAGTGGTGGGCTGGGGCTTCCATTGGGCACCCCTTTGGAAGGTCCTGGTAGTCAACTCGAAGCAGGACCTTCATCCATCAATCGCCTCCCAAACCTCGCTGAGCCTTGGCAGCTGCCGAGAGTTCTCGGTTTGCCCCGCGCATCGAGAGCTCTCTGTTTCGGCCCGAGTTCTCCGTGCCCGGCGCGGCCTCCTTGGGCGGCAGCTCGTAGAGACCCGGCAGCTCGCCGACCATCTCCTCACAATGTCTCGGGGAGACGGAGACGGAGACCCTGCGACCCGGCAGCGACGCACGAGTGCAAAAGGAAAAAAACAACTGATAACCCCCCCACATGTTAACAACTTCACCAAATACAGGAGCGGACAATTGGTGGTTGGCAATTGGTTGGTGACAAAAGTGAACTCTGAACTCTGACTTAAGTTTAGGCATGCGAAAGACCTGCTTTCAATAAAACCACGGGTGTCTCGTGAAGTGGGTGAACTTGGTGCTGGATATCTTCCAAGAACACTTTGGTGTTGCAAACACCGAAAGAATACACCTGGCAAGAAATAGACTCAACACCGCTGGAGAAAACCGTCTAAAGAAACGTGGCTTGGAGGTTTAGGCAAACGCTGAATGATGATGGATTGTCCACAAGAATGGTCCCAGTAATTAAAGCTGAAAGTAAAACTGATACTTTCAATTGGCTCACAGTGTCCACATGTTTCCAGTGATTCTGTTCAGCGGAGATATGCAATCTATCTTGGGGAGATTGGAGTGTCAACAAACGTGTACGGTTGTGGGGTTAAGGAGATACTGTGGAACCGAAATCGGGCTGCCTCCATCCCTAACATCGTGGAGGGATTGCTATGACACTAGGCCAAGATGAAACCACCACCACCGTTTCTTGCATCCCTCCACCACCCTCCGGACCCCACACTCACTCTGCGCGAAAAAAGCAACAAACACGCACCGCACCGCCCAACGCCACCACCACCCAGCCCGACGCGACACCCCAAACGGCGAGACAAATAAAAGAGATCCAAACAAACGCGACGGGATGGATCGACGGGATCGACGGAGGACGCTCCTGGAGGATCATGCGGCCCACCTTCTCAAAGGAACCCTTGGGATCGGACAAGTCATACTCCTTGGGCAGTGCCCGACTGCTCGCTCGGCCGCGGCGCGGTCTTGCGTGTGCGCGGCCAAAAGGACTGCTGGGAGCGATTCGACCCGAATTCGTAAGTCTTCGTCTCGTGTCCGAAGATCTGTGGAGTCCGACATCTTCTCTGTCGAGTCTTCGCCACTCAGGTGAAATGAAAAGCGAACTTCACCAGGTACAAGGTGGGGGTTCCCCCCCCGGACATCATAGTTGAGGTGTCGAAATGCGGGAAAATGGCATGATCCACTAAAAAAACACAAAGACCGTCATGTCATGTGTCACTTAATGTTGATTTCTAGACGAACCAAGGTACCTACTCTTCCCATGCCTTCCCGAACTCGATCGACCGGAAACCCTGAATGCTCATCCTCGGTGTATTCGGTGGTGTACGCCGGCTTTCCAGCAGGCCAGGAGGTGGCGGGGTTGGCCTCAAGAGTTCTGAAGAAGTGCCAAAAGAGAGGTCAAGGCCTCAAGAAGCAGTGCCTGAGAGTTGCCAGCAGTACGGCGGGAGTTGGAAGGTCAATGTGTAACTCCTGCTGGTTCCACGTCCCATCGTGCTCAACAAAGGGCAAAGAGATGCCCGACTGGTTCCCCCAATGTTCAACACGCATCTTCAACTCATCTCGTTTACACTCCCTGGAACTAACTAACTAACATGGAAGTGGATAGCATGGCCCTTTGGAAGACATTGGAAGACCGTTTTCCTCTACAAACAGGAGGTTTTCCACTTTGAATGTTTGTTCCAGGGAGTGTACTGTTTACTGGTATGTTTACTGGTCCATGGTCCATGTGTTGATTCTGGCCTTTGATACACAATCCACTCTAAACGGCGATGTGATGGGCACTAGTAGTCACTAGAACCGACATACCTTGGATCACTCTAGGCCCCAAGCGCCAATGCCATCGACAATGCCTCGGACTGCACACAGCTGGGTGGCTCACGGCATGTCCGGGAGACTTGTAGCCAATGGCGTTGGATGTCGTTGGTACCTCTTTTATGGCTTCAATCTCAACTTAGTGTTCATATGGCTGGTTCCACACGGTTCCAAACAAAAGCACGGTGGGATTCTTGGGGCAACCCGACTCTCAAAATTAAACACTGAAGCGTTGGAGAGATTCAGTTCTCAGCCCAATGAAGCTGGGTTGGAAAAACCCTATTTAGGAGATCTGAACAGCTGGTTGGAAAGGTTCCACAGCCCCAAAGACAGACATGCCAACAATCCCTTCCAGGAAGTTTTCCCAGGTCTGCTTCCTTCTCACCTTGGCCAATAAGGTCTATTTCCCTTCTTCTCAGGGGATTTCAATACACACCCATCTGTTGACCTCCCTGTCTATTCTGTTCATTTTCGCTGCTACACCAGCACCCGCCCTCCGCCGAGCCCTCGGGCCCTCGGTCTTCGTCTCCAAGACGGAGGTCTTCGTCGACTGAAGCCTGTCGATGTTCGGGCAGGTGTTCACCCTGAAGACATCGGTGAAGAAATGGATCCCAGCAACATCCAGTGATGATCCAGGATCCAAGATCCAACATGATCCAACATCATCCATGAGGATGTGTTGTGTTCAAGCCACATGGTGGTTCCATCATCCAACGGAAAGGCCCCCAAAGACCCCCCAAGCATCTCCGAGTGTCTGGCGAGATGAATCCTTTGTAATACAGTACCTCTTGTTCAAAGACTCTTGATGCCCATCGCCGTGACAGTCACGCCAATCTGACCGGGGGATCATGCCAAATGGAGGAACAAGGCGGGTCATGCCGGTCATCGCGAATGGACGTTCGATGTTCCAAACAGAGGCGAACAAGAGAAAGAAAAAAACACCGATGTCCAGTGCCCTTCTGCATTCTCGAAAATGAACGTCAGGTTCTCCCGACCGACGTGTTTTTTTTGGGCAGCCATGCTCCGCCAAAAGAATACGATTATATTTTTATTGTATAAAGCTCATGAAAGTACCAAATCCCCTCATAGCAGCGTCTATGGGTGGCGCCCCTGTGGCGCACCATTTAGAAATATCTGGAACCAGGCTTTCCACAAGTGAAATTTGTTCAATCAACTGTTCAGAATAAGCAGGCACGCCACTCCAGGCTTTTTTCATTCAGCGAAGCAATTCCACCCCTTGCATGTGACCATGCTGCACAGCAGCCGCCAAAGCGGTTGAGCAGGCAGAGCGCTCTGCCGCATTCTGGTCAGCTCCAGCCTCGAGCAACAATCGCACCACTTCTAGGTGGCTAAAGCAAGCTGCAAGAAACAAGGATGTTGCCCCATCTGACATTGCTGCATTCTTGTCAGCTCCAGCCTCAAGCAATAACCGCACCACTTCCAAGTGGCCATTCGCAGCTGCAGCCATCAAGGCGGTTCCTCCGCATTCGTTTGCCGCATTCTGGTCAGCTCCAGCCTCGAGCAATAACCGCACCACTTCCAAGGAGCCATTAGCAGCTGCAAACATCAAGGCGGTTAGCTCAGTTGTTTCTGCTGCATTCTGGTCAGCTCCAGCCTCGAGCAACAGCCGCACCACTTCGAAGTGGCCATGTTGAGCTGCAGCCATCACAGCGGTTTTCCCATCTTGCCTTGCCGCATTCTGGTCAGCTCCAGCCTCGAGCAACAACCCTACCACTTCCAAATTGCCCCGTTCTGCTGCAACATACATAGGTGGAGGGCGAGGGTCTGCACCTTTCCCATTGGGATTCAGCGCTTTCTGAAGCAAACTTGTAACTTCTACGACTCGATTGTTCTCACAAGCAAGGTGTAGTGCCTGCCAATTGGCCTCCTCAGGCGCACAAAGGTCCAAGATTACCAATTGCAAACTTGGTAGTTGTCTGACAGGCATATCATCCTCTAGTTCGCCCATCTCTTCACTCAAGAGTCTTAATCTAAATCTTGAGCATCTAATCTCTCTGGCAAGAAGCGTCTTCAAATCTCTAATGGATTTTCCGCTCTCCACCATGCAACCCAGTTCCTCCTCATGAAACTGGGTGAGAACGGTGCCTGCAACCGATACAATCTCCATTGCTCTAGCCCTAGAGGATTCGCTGACGCTTGAGCAACCAGTTAAGAACACACCGGGGACGACCTCTACCAATGTCCCTTCAAACACTGCAAGACTCACTAGTGACCACCCGCATGTTGAAGTAGAGGAACCCAAGCTTAAGAAGGTCCAATGTTCCCTGTTGACCAGGAGTGCAAACTTTGTCCGCTACTTGGTGGATCCATGACAGGTCATATGAGTCATATAGTCACTCATCCAAAGAATCTTATATGAGTCATATGACCATATAGTGAATACCATAATATATATATATATATATAAAGACTCACACCCTTTGTTTTTCACCCGCGCATGCAGTTGTGTGTCAATAAAATGGTTAAAAGGTCAACAACTAAGGTGAGAAAGACCTTCTTTCACTCC